CTGGAAGATGTTAATCGAACTTGAGACTTAATGGGTTGAGTGGATTGAATCATAACCCTAGTTTTATCTTTCTGAAAAATAGACCAATCTGTCCATATCTTTGAGAGACCATATCTAGATCATGAGAAAACCTTTTTAGTCGAAACCAAATCTCATTGTTTCTTTTTTGAGTTCTCTACAATTCATTAGTTTTGACCAAAGTCCAGAAATGCCACTAACTAGGGTGAAATCGACCATTTACCGAGATTGGTCCGTAATGAACTGTTTTACGAGGCAGTTTTGTGAAAATCACCAAAAATTGTAGAACAATCGTACGGAGGTGTGCAAATACTAATTTTAAAGCTAAGGACCTGAAGTTAATTCATATATAACAGTTTTGAAAAATAAGATGTTTAAAGGGGGTAAAGCAGGTCCCGAAAATACCATAACTTTTATGTATAAATCTGAAAAATAAAATAAAAATAACCCATGAATCATTATACTTTTGAGATATCAAAAGACCATAATTTAACTCTATTTGCTATTATTATGAAGCTTAAAGGTTGACCTGGTGTAAAGGGTGTCTCGAGCTACTTTGGAGAGTGTTTTGCTATTGGAGGTCAGTTCCTCACTTCATAACCTTAGAGTATTATATGTCTACTGTTAGGTCGGGTGAGACTAGGAACTATATGGTTGATAGTTAAAGTAATACTTGTTGCATTAGTTATGTTTGATGTACTTATTTGTTATGTGGAATGTATATGCATGATATGTTTGGGCTCGACGGCTGAATACCGAGTCGATATGTTGGGGCTCGACGGCTAGATACCGAGCCGGCTGACCGAAGGCCATTGTGCCAAGTCAGGGGGACCGAAGGCAGAAACGCCAAGTCCGTGGACTCGACGGCTGAATACCGAGTCTTTATTTGGGTGTTGTTTGGGATTTGTTCCCAAATAGACACAGGGTATATGATATTAATGTTTATATATTATATGGATGCTTGCATATTTGTTGATGGCATGGAATGTAGGAGTAGGGTGTAATACTTCTATTGTTATGTTGTGTTGGAATTCACTAAGCTTCGTGCTTACCCTTTCCTTTATAAAATGATTATTACAGGTACCTATGGTATGGATGAGTCTTTAACTTGACTGTACACCGACGTGGTTGAAGATTGGGTCCTTGTCACAGACTCTTGATATGGGATTTTAAGAATATTAGTTTTCCGCTGTTGTTTTGAAGTTTAAATGAATTAATATTGTTGGAAGTATGTTTTGATTTTGAAATGTTATTTGAATAATTGAAACTTAACAGTTTTGGTTAATTAATAGATTTAATGGTTTTTATTATAAATATAAATGTTTTCAAAAGTTCAAATTTATTGTAATTTTGGGACGTTACAAACATCCATCGGAATTTTATCGAACGCATACTCGATTTCTTATGCGATTACCCATGTCTTTGTATCGTCTTCCCTACAAACAACCGTACATCGATTGCAATGCTTGATTTGAAAACCGGGATTAGATCAATCCACCGATTAGCAGTCTAGCAAGGGATATAGTAAAGCTTCTTTATCGATTTTATCACCATCCTCCTCCAATTCAAGGTAATCTTGCTTTGATAAAACTGATTATTGATGTTTGAATGCTATTTTTGTGTTATTTGAATATAAATTTTGACTACTACATGTGATTCACATCTGGTTTGTGCTTGAGTTCCATTTACAAAAGCAATTTGTTTACAATTTCAGTTTTTTTTACTCTTATTTGAACAGCCATAAAATGTTCATATGATCTTGGAATGAGACACTATTTTTTCCAGATTGTAGTCGTTAGTGTGGTATACATTTTAGGCTAAAGAAATAGCTTATTTGGTTTAGTTTTCGCTGAGTTATGAAGCTCTAAACAGTGGCTATTATGAATGTTGTATAATATTTCAACATTTTTTTTGATTTTTTGTCCAACTTTGAACCATTATAAAATCTTCATATGAACTCGGAATAAGGTATTATTTTTTCCAGATTGTAGTCCTTTGTGTGGTATACATTTTAGGCTCAAAAAATAGTTTATTTGGTTTAGTTTTGGGAGAGTTATGCAGCCCTAAACATGGCTGTTTGGATTTTTGTAAACTGTTTCAGCATTTTTTAGTTTTTTTATTCAACTTTGAACCATCATAAAATCTTCATACAAGCTCGGAATAAGGCGAATTTTTTTTTCCAAATTGGAGTGCTCTGTCTTGTCTACATTTTAGGCTCAAGAAATAGCTTATTTAGTTTAGTTTTGGCTGAATTATGCAGCCGTAAACATGGGCTGTTAGGATTTTTGTAAACTGTTCCAGCAATTTTTAGCTTTTTTGCTCAACTTTGAACCATTATAAAATCTTCATACCAACTCGGAATGAGACGATTTTTTTTTTCAGATTGTATTCCTCTGTGTTGCCTACATGTTAGGCTTAAGAAATAGCTTATTTGGTTTATTTTTGGATAAGTTATGCAGCTCTAAACAGTGGTTGTTATGATTTTTCTTTCGATAGTTTTAGCATTTTTTTGGCTTTTTTGTCCTAACTCTTCCTTGTTTGTATATACGTAGATGACACGAACACCTTTGCAACAACGGATTGTACGAAATAGAAATATTGCTAGGACATCCTCCGTAAGAGCATTTTATGCAATGTATTTCATGATACGTTGGTGGATGTTGTATGATTTTACTATGAATCGTTTAGAAAAAGCTACAATATTACGGGAAAAATATTTAATGAGTTACCATAATGGACGTGATAGTATTCATGATATGGTTTATAAAAGTGATAAAACAAGTGTGGTTAACATAAGAATGAATAGAAATGCATTTATGAGACTATGTGACATGCTTGAACAAAGAGGGGGGTTGAAATATAGCAAAAACATGTTAGTTGACGAGCAAGTTGCTATGTTCTTACATGTACTTGCACATAACGAAAAAAATAGGATTATAGTAGAAAGATTCAAAAGGTCAGGTGAAACTGTAAGTCGATATTTCAAGGTAGTCTTAGATGCGGTATGTCGATTACATAAAAAGTTCTACAATAAACCTGTGCCAATACCTGATGACGAAATCGATGAGAGGTGGAGGTGGTTTAAGGTTAGTAATTAGTTATTATAAATTTATTTAATTCCAATATTAATTAAATAATTTGTTTTATGCACAGGGTTGCCTAGGGGCATTAGATGAAACATATATCAAAGTTAAAGTCCCTGCAGCAAAGAGAAAACCTTATCGAACACGCAAGGGTGAGATTTGTACTAATGTACTTGGAGTGTGTTCGAGAGATCTTCAGTTCATATATGTACTAGCGGGATGGGAGGGTTCCGCAGCAGATAGTCGAGTACTGCGAGATACTATTAGTAGACCACATGGTCTTAAAATACCCCATGGTATGATATACATAAAACATAAAGCTACATAATATTATCAATACAATCTAACTAAATATGTAGAATCTTTTGTAAGAACATACTATCTTTGTGATGCGGGTTATACAAATAGTGAAGGTTTTTTAACACCTTATCGCGGGCAACGTTACCATCTTAACGATTGCTCTCGACCTCCTACATATGCTAAAGAGTTATATAACATGAGACATTCATCAGCAATGAACGTAATAGAACGATGTTTTGGATTAATTAAATCTAGATGGACTATTTTACGTGATAATGCATACCATCCAATAAAATCTATGTCACACATAATCATTGCATGTTGTTTGATGCATAACTTCATATGTACAACCATGACGGAAGACCCCCTTGATCAAGAAATCCCTACAAATCACACCCAATTTGGAGACGAACATGACAACATTATTTCTACCGTGGAGACCTCGCAAGGATGGACTGACCGTTGAGATCTTCTTGCTAATATTTATGTTTACTGATTGGAGTTCAAGGCGTGCCAATAATTAATTTATTCCATGTTTTTATGTAAACTTGATTATTCATTATGTGGTGTTTATACTTATTTTTAATAATTGAACAACTCTATTATTATTTCATTATTCTTGTTTATATATTGTATTCATTATGTGGTGTGATAATATTTCGTCAGTTTGAATCTATTTGTAAATTATTCATTATATTAGAAATATGTTTTTCAATATTATATATATATATATATATATATATATATATATATATATATATATAATATTAATTAACAAGAAAATAAATTATTTGGTAAAAAGTAATGTTATAATAAAAAATTATAAACATAAAATATACTTATTTTAGCAAACAAGATGTGCAGCATAATGCATTTTTATAAAAACAATGTTGTTTGAAAATAAATAAACAAAGTAAAAAATGCATTTCTATTTCACTGTTTAATACTACCAAACAAGAGAAATGATTTTCAGACACATTTCTCTTGTGGATTCTTAGTTCTATCAAACAGGGAGTCAATTATCTTTCTCCATCTTAATTCTCTTTCTCTGCATTTCCATTCTCTGCAGCAATTCCATTTCTCTGTACCAAACGCACCCTTATTCACTTCTGATATTGCATAAATAGCTCAAGACATCCAAATAATTCTCTTTTATCTTTCAACCAAAGTTTTTGTCCCAAATGGTTTCCTCTTACAAAGTTTTTAACGAGACGAATGTTTGATGTATTTTCTAAATGTACAAGACGAAGAAGTATAAGTATGACTTGGTATAAATCTAAGTACCCCAAAAAGAGTGTTGTAACCCATAGTATATCAATTGTTGCTTATATTTAAGTGTTTCATAAGTAGAATTTATGTATATAAATCCGACAATTGTTTATCCAATATTTGTTCTATATATAATGAACTGTTTTATATATATATATATATATATATATATATATATATATATATATATATATATATATATATATAGTTAGAATGTTAAAATAATTTTTTGAATTGAACTAATTTGTTATACAACAATATGTTAAATTTTACAAAGGAGTGTATATTAAGTTTTTAAATTTATCATTGTAAGTGGCAAGCTAGGCATTTGGCCATATATATACATTGCGTTTCTTTGTTGGCTGGCTAATCACGAAAAAGAAAATGGAGAATATGAAATATGGCGAGGAGCTTGTGAGGGAATTTCTGTTCTTCAGAGGATTCACAAACACTTTGCAATCTTTCGAGAAAGAATTGGCTACAGATATTGGGAAAGGATTTCATAAGGATAAAATCTTTGACCTAATTTTTTCAGTATACATCCCTAAATTCCAGGCAGAAAATCTAATTTCCTTGCTGACTTTTTTCAAACAATGTTTTTCTTCATCCGAAACCATCTTGCTTGCTACCTTGTCCAAATTGGAGATCTCTGTTCTTCGATATTACATCGTTCACGCCGTACAATCAGGAAGAAATGACAAGGTTATCGAATTTTTTGGAGTTCATGGCGATGATTTGCTGCAAAGGGATCATGATTGGATGTCGTGGTTTGGTGTGTCTTCTCTCCTTCCCCTTTTCTGCTCCTAGAATTTTACTTTCTTCGAGGTTTAACCCTTTTTTTATGCAGCGATCCCGTATATCAAGAACCCTAGATTGGATCCCTTGTTTCGTGTATACTTCTCTCGGGAGTGGTTTGATGCCCTGCATCTTTCTCTTAGGAACTTCTTGAGTGAAATCTTCAATGGAACTCATATCCTTCAACAAATTTCCTGAATAGTTTGTCATGATTCATGAATTTCATTATCATTATCTCTTCTAATTTAAACACCAATACGAATTCTCCTTAACTAATCCACGCATTCCTGCATTGCTGAAAATCAGTTCAGAGAAACACACTGTGAACCATCTCAAGAACGATATCAAACATTTAAACACCAGACTCTCACAACTTCAGGCTTTGTTGGAGGAAAAGGAGTCTCAATTACGTCGCTCCAGGAGGTAAGCTTCTTTCTTCCCCATTTCTCTGATTCCAAACACTGTCTTTTAGTTTCACTGATCGCATGTCTTAATAACAGCAATCTTTCAACTTCCCGCCAATTAAGCATTGATGGTAACAATGAATCTATGTGCTCTACTACACCTTTACCTAAAGAATCCGTTGTTTCATCTAGTGAAGCTCATTCATCCACCACTCATTTGAGTGGGAGAAAGCCCTTGGATAAGGATGTTAATACACCTGAGGGTCAAGCTGCAAGCACTTCAAAGAACAGTTATGGTGGATATGGTGATGAGAAGAATGGTTCTATTGGTAAGAAATTGTAGCATTTTGATTAATATAAAGAAAAATCAATTCTTTGAATTGTTGAAGTGACTAAATCAACTATATGACACAGAAACCAATGAATCACAGCAAGAAGAAGATTTCCCAGAAGTGAAAGTAGACTTTCAGGTGCAAATGCAATCACTCATCCATCATAATACTTGACTTCTTATCTTCTTTTATGTCTCATGGATTTTGTTTTTCAGGAAACTTTTTTGGGCCACACAAGCCCAATTAGTTGCTGTAGGTTTTCTACATCTGGAGACAACATTGCAAGTGCTTCTGTAGATGGAACAGTCAGGTAGATTTAGATCATTTGAAAGCTAAAAAATGAGATAACTTTGAAGTAAAGACAATTTGAAACAAGCTTTAGTATTTTAATTTTCTGATTTCTTTTTTTTTAATGAAGGGTATGGACATATGACTCGTCAACTTCAGCATCAAGAAATGCAACAATCTATTGTGGGGCAGAGATCATGTCACTAGAATGGGATTGCAAATCTGATCGATTGGTATAAATTATAATACTAATTTAGTTTTTTAGTTTCCACATTTACCCTTTTCATAAGTAGATGATAAAGATTAGTAATAATATTTGATAAAGCTTCTCATAGGCACTGCTGATGGAGGAATAAAAGCATGGAATGTTGATGCAAAAAGAGTTGTTTGTGATCTCAATACAACTGAAGCATTTCCAAGGTTTATCTTTATCTTTATCTTTATCCCTAATACTATTATTCTTATTTTTTGTTTCCCAAACACCAAAATCTCTTTATTTTTTTTTCATTCCTTAAAATCTTTTTGTTTATTTGTATTTCAGTGTTCTTGACCTAAAATGCAGCCCAGTTGAACCACTTTTTGTGTCTGCAGCAGCATCCAGAAGGTATTATTAACAACTTTAGTTGAAAATTATTTAAAGTATTAACAGTTTTATTAAAATATTTTTGTTGTAGAAATGGCACAAATTTTATAGATAAATTGGGATTCGCATCATTAACTGTTTGGAACATGAGAACATGGAAGCCAATGGTATGTTATATGTATTTTTAGAAAGAAGTTGCATCTATTTACAACAATAATAATAATAATAATAATAATAAATTAATAATAATAATAAATATTAAATATGTCCATTTTATTAAAGACAGTGCTTCCACTTGGGAAAGATCCACCTGCTATCACCTCACTGTGCTTCAACCACAATGGAAAGATTCTAGCAGCTGCTGCTACTGATGGAATGATTCACATGTTTGGTATCCTTAAAAAAATTATATTTTTTATTTTTTTTTAAATAAATGAGTACCAATTTTATATTTTATAAAAAGAAATAAAAAAAAAATCCTTAACAAGACTCAGATATGTCAGCAGGCCTACAAATAACTGGATGGCCAGCTCATGATTCTGCTATCAGCTCTGTTCTTTTTGGGCCTGATGAAACTAGTATTTTTAGCTTGGGTATAGATGGAAAGGTGAAGACTTTTTTTTTTAATATATATTTTTTAGGGTTAATATCATAAAAGACATTATATTTTGTGTTTTTGTTTTCGGATTAAATTCAACTTTATTTTTTTTCCTGAAAAAGACCTTGCATTTTTTTCAATTTTTCCCATCTGGCCCTTTTAGTCATTTTTTTTTTCCTGAAAAAACTTGTAGAATGTGAGGGGGTTTTTGAGAAAAACTAAAAAAGTTGAGGGTTTATTTGGAAACATTTAGAAGGTTGAGGGGGTTTTGTGAGAAAAACTAAAAAAGTGGAGGGTTTATTTGGAAACAATTAGAAGGTTGAGGGGGGTTTTCGAGAAAAACTAAAAAAGTTCGAGGGTTTATTTGGAAACAGTCAGAAGGTTGAGGGTTTTTTTTCAAGGGTTAATCTCAAAAAAGACTTTATATTTTGTGTTTTTTTCGGATTAAACCTCAAATTTATTTTTTGCTTGAAAAGGACCTTGTATTTTTTTTTTCATTTTTTCCGAAAAAGCCCTCAACTTTGTATTTTTTTTCCGAAAAAAACCGCTCAACCTTCTAAATACTTCCAAATAAACCCTCAGCTTTTTTAGTTTTTCTCAAAAAAAACCCTCACATTTTACAATATTTTTTGAAAAAAAAATGACTAAAAGGGCCAGATCAGAAAAATAAAAAAATACAAGGTCTTTTTCAGGAAATAAAATAAACATGAGGTTTAATCCTGTAAAAACACAAAATATAAGTTCTTTCATAGTTTCATGAGATTAACCCAAGTTTTTATCCTTAAAAATTAGAAAGTAATAATTTATTTATTGTTGTTTGTTGCCAGGTATTTGAATGGAGCTTACAGAATCAGGGTAAAGTTCTTTGGTCAAGAAATTGCAACAGGTATAAATAAAAAAAAAATCTGACCATTTTTTTAACCTTTGTAGTTTATATGATTTTAAAACAAAAAAAAAAAAAATTATAATTTGTTATGTAGGTTGAGTAATGTTGAGAGTTCAGAATATTATAGACATGAAATGGCTTTAGATGCAAATGGTAAACGACTTTTAGTCACATCTGATTCAGTCAGAGCACCAATATATCAGGTTATTAATACCAACATACTTTTATTTATTTTTGTTTATAATAAATAAATGAAAGTTTCTTAATTTTAAATATTTAGGGTAAATTACACAAATGGTCCCTATGGTTTGGGGTAATATGCGCGTTTAGTCCCTAGGAGCTTTTTTTAACTCGGAAGGTCCCTAAGATATATTTTTGTTACGCGTTTGGTCCTTACCACACCTAAAAAGACTATATTGACCTTTTTATTTCTTTTTGAGTTTGTTTATTCTTTATTTGTTATTTATTTATCAAAAACTATTTATTAAATAAGATGGGGCCCACTCCCACCCCTTACCTTCACCCTCCGATGGTCGCTTCTGTCTCCCAAATCTCGATCTCTCTACTTTTTTTCACCCTACTTGACACCTTGGCACCAGACTAGGAGACGCCGAAATCCTCCTTCGCCGGCGACCGTACCCTCGTAGGTGACCCTTATCTCCATCATCTTCATCTTCGAGAAATGCATACATTATTGAGCGATCTTATTGCCAATGAGAATCCCATCTACAACTGGTGTTGGTATATGGTTTCGTCGGAGCATCACGGTGGGGAATCGACGAACGTTCTGGAACATCGATGAACCAGATGCACCCACAAATGATTACACGATCCCTTTCATTTATTGCCGGTTTGAGAATCGATTTCTCACAGATAAGGGTTTCTAAAAATCATGAAAGGCGTTGTTTCTAAATATTGATTTCTCACAAAGAAGAGTTTCACAGATATGGTCTTTTGAAATCGGTTTTTGAACATCAGGTTTTGGGAAAATCGTGAGATCTATAGTCACTGTGGGTTCAGCCTCGTCGGACTATTCCAAAATTCATTTTACCTCTAAACCACTCTCTTAATTATGATATTCTCCCAATCGTTCCACAACTCCAGATTACCCAACCTTAGATCCACAATTAGTGGTCTAATTTCCCTCCAAGACTTATTGCGGATAACTCATCGGGAAACAGGGGTGGTGTCGGAGTCTGATGGGTGGAATGTGACGCTGATTCATTCTACAAATTGAGGTATCGAGGTTCATCTGAGTTTTTAGATTTTTTTTCCGGTGGGAGAGATGGTGGTAATTAGTCTGGTCTAGAGGTGGTGGTGACTTCCGGTGGCATAAGGGTGGTAGTTTACTCCGGCAAGAGATAAATCGGATGAGTGGAAGGATAATTAAAGGCAATACATTTAACAGTAAATTATACAAGTGGTCCCATCTTATTAATAAACATTTTTAATAAATAAATAACAAATAAATTAAAAAAGAAATAAAGAAGGGTAATTTAGTCTTTTTAGGTATGGAAAGGACTAAACGCGTAACAAAAATATATCTTAGGGACCTTCCGAGTTAAAAAAAGCTCTTAGGGACCAAATACGCAGATTACCACAAACCATAGGGACCATTCGTGTAATTTACCCAAATATTTATTATGTATCTCAGGTTCAAGATGATATGAATGGGATGAAAAGCCTTCCTCATAGTGCAGCCATATCAACAGTAGATTGGCACCCGACCCTGCCCATTTTCCTCACCGGGTCGGTGGATAATTCCGTCAGGGTCACATCCATTTTATAATTCTCTTTGTTTTTTGTGTTTTGTATTTTTCTTTTTTTAATAGAAGAGGTTTTTTTATTCTTTTTTTTTTTGAGGGGAGTGATTAAGGCTGAATATATGAATTACTTAAAGTACATGATGTGTAACTTTTTTTTTTTTTTTTTTTAAAAAAAAAAAATTCTCTGATGTTTGTTTGAGAGTGGTAATGGAATTAGATTGAAGTTGTTATGGAGGGTGGATAGGATCTTTGAAAACGAATTCAAATATGATCTGATAACATTTTTTAGGTTGAAAAGAAAATTGAATGTTTGTTGTAGATGGAGGGGGTGAATACAACTAATCATTGATAAAACTTGAATAAGCTAAAAGATGAGAGTTTTAGGATTTAGGAATGTTTTCTTTAAATTAATTTCGAACAAACAAAACACAATTACAAAGATGATAACTCAAGTCAAAGGAAATGAAGAACACACATTTAAACCCTAAAAACAAATTCTAGTGTATTGTATAAACACTCACAGATAGTGAGGAATGCTAATTGATAAGTATTTAAGTTATAAAAAGGATCTCTAATGATAGTTTGTTACCATTTGAAATAAGTTTTATTTATTTATTTATTTATTTTAATCGTTGGAGAAGAAGACTTTTTAGAGAGGTAATTCAAAACATTTATTTTTCTCTATTTTTTATTTTATTTTAGGTTTTATCACATACCTATATTTAATAACACCTTATTTTAGACCTTAATTATATTTAAATATTAGATTTTTTTATTATTTAATAAAAATGAGTATATTTTATAAAAATGTTTTATAATTTAAAAGAACTTGTAAGACTCAAAATTAAAAAAAGAAAATATATCAAACATTATAAAACATGAAGGTTATATAATATTTTATTGTTTTTTGTATTTCAACTATATATGTAAGAATTTTATTGTCTTTTATAGTTTCGGAGAAAAAAAATACTTGATAATTGTTTATTATTTTATTTTTTTTTGGCATTTAGTGTCTATAAAAGTATAAATATGAAATGCATTAGTAAAATGTTAAATATCCGACAAGTTTTTTCGGAAAAATTACCCAAGAAATACTCAAAAATATGACATATGTTAGTAAAAATGATAAAATATATGAGGATACTTAATAAGATAGATAAAAGATGAGTTATTTAAGTTTAGAAAAAAAAAAAACTTTTGAAAAGGTTAACTATTGTAAATGATATTTGATAAAAGTTGTTGGTTAGATAAAAGTTAATAGAAAGATGATGGACAAAAACAATAAGTTTTTATGTGATTAACCATTGAAGATTCTCTAACTATCACCTCCTCCCTAAATAGTGTAGTTTTCTTAATATTAATAACAACAATAATAATAATAATAATAATAATAATAATAATAATAATAATAATAATAATAAACTATTTAAAGAGGAAAAGAAACGAACCATAAATTAAACATGAGTACATGACCAATAATGTGATATATTCGCAATTAAAAAAAATAATAATTGGCATATTTTTCAAAATTAAATGTCAATAATGAAAAACAATGAACTAAAATAATGTATATGGATAGCGTAATAAATTCAACAAGAATAATTCGTCAACGACTTTAAGTTTTTGTAACAAAAATTTCATTGAGATTGAATATTAAAATAAATTTTACCTTTAAATTTAACAAAATTTTGTAATGAACATATTTGTGTACTCTTTACATTTTCCTCCTCAAAATCCCATATTTTATGCCAGAAATATATATATATTTTTTTTAATTTTTTTATACAAATTTACCTTGAAGGATCCTCAAACATGTATTCCTTCAAATCAATAGTCATAAATTTGGGAATATGGTCTAACATGCATCTCTCCGACGATATTCAATGTCATTTATGAAATGTTTGGCTGTATGTTTCAAAAACGGTTTTACGAATTAAAATCATATAACAGTATATATTAAATTGAAGGAAAGTTACGTACTTTTGAATTTATTTTTAGTAATCATTTTTTTTACAATGAGTTATAATTCTCTTCTTCAAATTTTATTATCTTAATCATAACAAATCCAATAATAATTCTAATTTAAAATGTCCATTATACATTTGTGCAAATATAATTATTTTTTAAGAAAAAAAAACTAATATAGGCTTTCATTAATGTGAGCTATAAAATAAGCCTAAAAATGTCGTAATTCCTCAAAATAGTTCTCTACGAAATTCACAATTGCATGTAAAATTAGTTTTTTATATGTTCCCCATAAAAAAACATCTTGCAAAATTGTTAATTTAAAAAAAAAAAAAAAAATCTTAATTTTTTATAAAATGAAAAAAAAAAACATTTTGTCTAAGTTTTTTCGTGTATGCATGCTTAAAAACCATTTTCACAACTAGTCTAAACCCTTCATAGCTTAAACACTTAATACTTTGTCACGATGTTGTTAAGTTAAATTTTCTATATGAGTATCTACATTTAGTTAGCAGTTACATTTATTCTTGGTTAATAATAATAAGAAAAATAAAATGTTCAGCTTAAGAAAATGTTATAAAGATGATATAAAAACAAATAAAATAAAATAAAAATGCCCTAAACATACTAGACAATAAAAATCTATCCAAATAAACAAAACTTTAAGCTATTTTTTGACAACTATTATCAATTATGAAGGCACTAGAATTGTCTTTTTCTTAAATCCTTTTTTGTTTTCAAACAAAAACCCTTTTTAGGTTAATAATCAGCACTAGTTTGAAATTGAATATTAGGTTTGTGGATTGTAATGATGATACAGTGATTTGCAAAAAGCACAATCACAAGCACACACGATTTCTTTGTACTCGATGTCTCGATTGATTAGTTGAATTGTCGTCATTCATGATTCATGATTCATGGTTCATGATTCATCAGCCTTCAAATTCAATCACAAATCGCATCATTTGATTAAACTCCCTTCTTCTTTTTGTCACTATCTCTATCTAAACAACTCACTCACACCAACTGAGCCAACGACACTACCAACCAACCAGATCGTCACTGCCCACCACACTATACTTCGCAAAATCTATAAACCCATCTCCCTCTTGAGATCTACATTCACACACAGATAGATCCAGTGAAAGAGAGAGAAGAGAGAGAAACTCGACGGTGGTTACGATGAGGGAACTGGCCACTGAGAACATGAACGGCGCCTCGTCGTCACCAACGCCACCACCACCGCAGGCTCTGCTTGAAAGACTCAAAGATTATGGCCAGGAGGATGCGTTTGCGTTCTGGGATCAACTCTCTGCTGACCAACAAAACTTTCTTATTCAGGAGATTGAGGTTTTTCTTTCACACCAATACATTTCTAGATCTCTCTCGTTTTCAATCCACATTGCATTTATTAGTTGCAGTCGTAAACTAGTTCAATTGGATTTGGATTGGTAATATCAGTAATCACTAATCACTGTCAATGCCAGATCCCGCACAATATAGGATAATCCTTTTCCCTGTTTTTTGAATTCGTGGAAGCATCATCATCGTTACAAATTAGGAAAAATGTACATTGGATTTGTGGTATTGTGTAAAGCAAACTGCGTATATTTGCAGAAGTAACAAATGTCATTGGATTTAGTAAAATCACTCCTATCTCTTCTTCTTTTCTTCAAAATCTATGTTAATTCGTTACATTCTTTTCAGAGTTTAGATCTTCCAAGGATTGATCGAATGATTCACTGCTCACTTCAATCACATGGTTAGTCTTTTCTTCATCTTCTTTTATGTTATTTCATAAAATCCATTTATGTTTTGATGAAGTTAATTGATTATGTGAGCGATGATGATACAGGGCTACCAACAGCAGCCATAGAACCAGTGCCAGAGGGTTGCGTGTCAACTGTAGATGATAGAAAGCTTGAAGATAGAGAAAGATGGTGGAACATGGGATTGAAAGCCATTTCAGATGGGAAATTAGCTGTATTGCTTTTATCTGGTGGACAGGTATATCTTTATTTTTACTTCTTTATACTTCACTTCTGTCAAGTGTCAGACTTATTTATACACACATTGTATTGTTTTTGTTCATAAAGCAAAGACCATATTGATCATGATCCACAAATTTAAAAACCAAGGATTTAGTTCAATACATGTCTCAATGTTTTCTTTTCTCACACTATTATGGAAATAGAAAGTGTAATGAGTTTGTTTTCTATATGAAATGATTGTATACAATGAATCTTTCTATCTGTTCTTAATCTACTTAAAGGATTATGGCAACTATATGATGTTTCCTCTTGCTTTTTGTTTCTAGAGATGCCCACTAATGACAAAAAAATCATAATGAATCCATAGCAAAAGGGGGTAGAAACTGGAAAGTAAATCATTCTTTATGGAAAGTGCATAGTGAATAAATAATTAATGTTTACACAACAAAAGCTTCATTATTTTTGTGTTATGATTCTTTTATCATAAGATAATGTGTACTAATTTACCTAAAGAACATAAAATGTCACTTATCCTAATTAAATGGAGGCAGAGTTGTAAATAGGAAAGAGGTCCTTTTCAACTTTTCAAGTAAGGGTAAAAGGGTCCACTATGTGTCAATGTTGGGGCAATTATAGGTTCATAAATCCTTATTGCAATTACTTGTATGTCTTGCTATTTAATGTGACATCTACCATTGATATTAATGTTGTACTTTTTTGGAGTGTCATAGAGTACTTTAGGCTTGTGAACATGAAGCCTTTGTATTCTAAAAGAACTGAAACTATAATCTTTATTTAAAAAATATATATCACAGTCACAAAATAAATCAGTTTGATTTAAAGAAATGTTAACTTTATTTACAAGTTGCTTATTCTTTATATATTTTTTAAATGCAGGGGACTAGGCTTGGAAGTTCTGATCCAAAAGGATGTTTTAGTAAGTGTTTTCAAGTTTTTTTCTTTCAAATTATATTTTTTAATTTAGTTAAATAATTTTTTTTTTATTAATTCTTTTCATTTTAGATATTGGACTTCCATCAGGAAAGTCACTTTTTCAACTTCAGGCTGAAAGAATTATTTGTCTCCAAAGATTAGCAACTCAATCAATAAACGAAGGTAATATTTAACTATTTAATTATTTATTATATAAAATTAGTATTACATTTAAGCCCTTTTCGCGTGCTTATTTTAATCTTTATTTATTTATTTATTTAAATGTAGGTTCTGGTAATATTGTACCTATACATTGGTACATAATGACTAGTCCATTTACTGATGAAACCACACGTACATTCTTTGAATATCATAAATATTTTGGCCTTAAATCTGATCAAGTGAGTTTTTTTTTTATTATTTAAATTAAATTTGTAGATTTGTTTTTGGGAAACATTTTATATTTATTTTTGGAAGCTAATTGTTGTAGGTGACATTCTTTTCACAAGGCACAATACCTTGTGTTTCAAAAGATGGTAGATTTATTATGGAATCTCCATGCAAGGTATATGATTTGTAACATATTTTTATTTTGCATTTTGAAGAATATAAAGAAAATGTTGAATTGTTTTTTGGGTTTGGTCCAAGGGCAAAATGGTCATTGTTGAAAAAAACTAACAGCCAAAAAGTAAACCCATCCAAGAGAGGGACCAAACTTGGAATGAACCAACATCATAAGGACCTTTTTTAGAAAAATATTCATTTGATTTTTTTTTAAATTTAAATTTAATATGGTGTACAAACATGGTATTTAAGAAAATCTTAAAATTTTGAAGCCAGGTGGCAAAAGCTCCTGATGGGAATGGAGGAGTTTATTCAGGTATATTTTCAAGATAAATATATATTAAACTTTTCTAATTTTTACATTAGTACTTTTCTTTTTATTTAATAATCTGAAATGATAACTAATTTGGATTTTGAATTTTAAAAAAAAAAAAAAAATCAGCATTGAAGCATTCAGGATTATTAGAAGATATGTCTATGAGAGGTGTCAAATATTTGGATTGCTATGGAGTTGACAATGCTTTGGTATATAATTTTCCTTCCTTATTTTATTAAAAATATAAGCCATAGTATAAAAAAATTATTTTTATTTTTTATAAATTTTAGGTTCGTGTTGGTGATCCTACTTTCTTGGGGTACTTCATTGACAAAGGTGTGGCTTCTGCTGCTAAAGTTGTACGTAAAGTGAGTTGGTTCTCTTTCTGTTTCTTTTTTATTAATAATTTTATATTTTATATAATAAATAATATTATAAATCAGGCATACCCTCAAGAAAAAGTTGGTGTATTTGTGCGACGTGGTAAAGGAGGACCTGTAACTGTAGTTGAATACAGTGAGTTGGATCAGTCACTCGCTAGTGAAATTAATCAAGGAACTGGAAGACTTCGATATTGTTGGAGTAATGTATATTGACTAATATACCCTTTTCTTTATAAATTACTTACTCTTAATCTTAATTATATACTCTAAACCAAAATTTGCTTTTTATAATATTTTTCAGGTTTGCCTCCATATGTTTACTTTGGACTTTCTGAACCAAGTTGCAAATGGTCTCGAAAAGGACAGCATGTCAGTCTTTTTTTTTTCCTTTTAACGTTTTTCTTCACCAATTCCCATTGTCCAATTTACTATTTTACCCCTATATTCATTGCAAAAATTACAGATACCACCTTGCTGAAAAGAAAATCCCCTCCATCCATGGGCAAACACTTGGATACAAACTAGAACAATTTATCTTCGATGCTTTCCCATATGCACCTTCAACCGCCCTTTTTGAGGTCTTTTTTTTTGAATTTTTTTTTTTGTAAAATGTAAGTCTCAAAATTTATTTATTTTTAAAATTTAAATAGGTATTACGTGAAGAAGAATTTGCCCCTGTGAAAAACGCGAATGGGTCAAACTTTGACACTCCAGACAGTGCTCGCCTTCTTGTCCTCCGTTTGCATACACGATGGGTGGTGGCAGCTGGCGGCTTCTTAACACATTCAGTCCCTTTATATTCAACCGGTAAAAAAAAAAAAAAAAAACTTTCAAAACGATGTTCCATTCATTCAATCCCGGAATGGAATGACTGATTCCGTTACCCTGATTTGAACTTTACAGGTGTTGAGGTTTCACCGCTTGTTTCATATGCCGGAGAGAATCTTGAAGCAATTTGCCGTGGTAGGACATTCCATGCGCCTTGTGAAATCACATTTTAGTTTTTTTTTTTTTTTTTTGGGATTTTATTTTCTTTCTTCATACCAAATATCTGAGAATTTGTGAATTTGTAATTGTAAGAATTTTTCTATAGCTCTACTGAAATTGAGATTTTTTGTGAAAAAAGGCTCCATTTTGGTTTATGAATGATTGATTATATTTTTATGTTGTGTTTTCTAAACAAAAAATAAAGACCATCAACTTTGGAATCACTAATTCCCCCATGCATGTGATGATTTACACTTTTAACAGTAACATATGCGATATGATCATATATTTCAACAGTTTTTTTCTTACACCACTTTACAAACAAAATCCTATATTTTCCACTACACTTAAATTGCAACATATGCCTACAAAAATAGTTACACATTCGTCAAGATTCATCATCATCTGATACTGTCCCTTCTGATGAAACATCCTCCACCACCACCACCACCGGACTCGAATCCACCACCACCGGAATGTCACTTCTTTTAGTTTCGGGATTTGAACACGGTGGAGAAGGCGGCGGCGGCTCTGCCACAACTGGTGGCGGTGCATTGAGATCCGGTTCATCCCAAGATGGTTCTCGTTCTGAAGGTGGAGGCGGTGGCGGTGGCGTCACCACCGCCTGACTTCCTGAAGTTGAAGCACCATGTTCACTATCCGGCGGCGGTTGAACTCCGCCATGTACGCCACCACCACCACTTTTCTTCTTTTTCTTCAAATTCCGGCGAGGATCTTTCGGCGGAATCGGGAGCAATCCCGGAGCAACAAACGGTGGAATCGTCGGTTTTTCATCTCCATATAACAAACGGACGGAATGCGCGATTGCAGAGACAGTAGGCGGGAGTTGAGGTTCTTGAGGTCGAGCATTAACATTCACCGCTTCACGAAGCCAATGAGGCAATTTATTGTTATTTTCAGAACCACCACTTCCTCCACCACCACCACCAATCTCATCTTTCTCCTTCGGATTACTTACATTAACATCAAACTTTGGCTCCTTTTGTAAATCAACACCACCTAACCCATTCAAACCAAGAGACCCTAAAGTATTCGGTCCAAACGGGTTTTGTAAAACCGGTTCCGTGGGCCCCACCGACGACGATGACTCCCCGGAAAAATTCCCACGAAACCGCTCCGGAATCCACATCGGAATCGGAGGGAAATTCGAATTCCCATGTTGGAATCTATGAGGAGGAGGAGGAGGAGGAGGGTCTAAATTGTCAAAACCAGAAGTCGAAGGACCATCCAGTCCCAACTTCATATCCATAAGGTGTGGCGGGAAACTCGGAGGCCCACTAGGCCCACTAGCAAACCGACTTCTATGCAAAGCCCGTTTCATCATTCCATCAGAAATACTCGGAAACGAAGGATTTTTCCCTGATTTCGCAACATTTGACTTCTTTTGACCACCGGTCAAATCCAAGATTTTGACCTGTTCTTCCTCCCATCTATTAGCCAAATCTTCTGGTGTTCTAAATTTTGAAAATTTAAGACGTGGGTCCCGCAACATAGCCTCCCAACCACCCCGACCATGTCTTCGAACACCAATCCATAAAAAGTCAAGCTCATCTTCTGACCAAAAATCTTTCACAAGTTTTCTTTTAAGCACATTGTTTGATCCCGTATTTGTTCTCATCATTATGTTTTCTAGAACCTTCCGGTGGTTTTCAGGAAACGAAGAAAAAGCAGGTGGGAATTGACCTAATCCCAACATGGGTGGGAGACCCATGGCTTCCAATTCCTGTTGAGGGAATCGCAAATTTGGGAGGAATGGAATCGTGCAGAAATCTTGAAGATTGGAATTTGATTCCCCCCCTCCTCCTATTGATCTCCCTAAAGATAAACTCGGAAAGAATTCGGGTTGTTGATGATTATGATTATGATGATGTTGTTGATGATGATGGGCGAGGTTTTTTACTTGTAAAGATAACTTTGACATCATTGACTCGTCAAAGGGTAGTTTCGGTAATACCATTTTTTCATGAGATAAAGCATCACCACCCGAGCTCTCAGAAGCCTCCACTCCTTTCCCAAGAACATGCTGCAACATTTTATCAGATACAAAAGATTAAACTTAAACCAACCACTCAAAACAGAAAGGGTAAAATGGTGATTTTAGTTGGCTTACCGGAGGTAGACCATGTTGTTGGAGGGTATTTTCGTCAATTTTCAGATGAGATTTGGTGTCTGTATCATTAGAGCAAGGTGCTAAGTGAAAAGGGAATTCGAGTCCTATCGAGTGCTTGTTTTTTCTAGAAGATTTGGGATTGGGTCTTTGAGATGATGATGATGACTCCATTAGCTTAGTAGCATTTGGAGCACATAGCCCAAGAACCGGTAGCAAATTCCTATTTTGCCCCTCCTGCAAAACCAAGAATCTTAGTTTAACTTTAATAAATGAGATTTCAAATTTTATTTGTATACCTTGCTTATTGGTTTGTCTTCCGGAAGCTTCTCTGTGATTGGTTGATCTGATCTCCACATTAGACCATTGTTGTGGGGCCCACCACCTGAGGCTTCCATAGCCAAAAGGGCTTCTTTTATAGCATCTCTCTGAGCCAGCCTTTGTTTTTGTCTGGCTCGAAGCTTTGTACTGTATAGGGACCAAAAACGCAAAAAAGATTCACTTTTGGACCAAAATTGGAAAAATGAATAGATCACAGGGACGAAAAATGTAAATTACTTACAACTTATTTTTAAGAGCTCGTCCTGCTGGTGTATATTCGCGCTCAGGCTCAGGTTCTGGCTCCTCATCACCACCATTCTGCAAGTCAATCAACAAATATAGAGTAAATTACATTTTTGGTCCCTGTTCCAAGAAAAATGACTTTTTGGTCCCTGAATATGTTTTGCAGATTTGGTCCTCAAAATAGTCATTTTACTTGGAACAGGGAGCAAAAACGTTATAAAAACCTCAAATAAGGACCAAAAATTCAAGAGAAAATGTTTAGGGACCAAAAGTGTAATTTAAGTAAAGAATAGAGATGGAATTGGAAAGAATGAAAGATACCTCCAAAGTTTCAATAGGCCTTGGAGCATAGGCTTCCCTGTAAGAAACAGCCTTTCTTTGCCTTTTTCCTCTACCTAAAGCAGCTTCCTCCTCACTCTGATATTTCTCCCATCTACAAATGAATGGAATGACGAATGAATGGAATGGAATGGAATGGCGAGGGTAATGGAATAAACAAGGGAATGGAATGAGTCACATTACCTCACACGAAGAAGCCTGTCCCATTCATTTTCTTCAACAACATTTCCTGAATTATCCTCTTTCTTTTCCAGATTTTGAGCAGTGGCATCATCAATTACTTCCACAAGTGATTCCGTTCCCACTTGTTCTTCATTGGATTCATCATTCCAATCCAGAGACTATTTGAGCAGAGACAATAAAAAAATCAATAAAGTCGAATTTTCTCATTTGTCACTATTTACATTCTAAAAAATCCTTTGACCGATTTACAAACCAAACAGAATACACAAAGGAATGGAATAGAATTCAATTCCAATTCCAATTACGATTATATATAAAATCCCCATAAGAAGAAAAGAAAAGAATTGAACATACCTTAACTGATCCAAGCATATCATTTTCCTCAGCTTCACCATTTTCAGTCAACACAGAGTCAATGTTTGACCGGTCAAGCAACTTCAGAATCGCTGATTCATCCCAAACAATCATTGAATTCCCATCTGTACACTTATCCTGATACACATCCCCTAATCCCCCAACCTTTCTCCTACTCTTATGTTCACCCACAATTTCTTCCACTTTATTATTTTCCCCCACATCTTTCCCATTTTGCCCCAACCCATCATTAAACAACTCCTCAGTCCCCCATCTCAAAATATCCTCCACCTCCTTCTGGGACCCACTCTTATTCACAAAAAGTTGATCAAGCATCAGTTTCTTCTTAGCCAACTGCAATATCCTCTCTTCAACACTCGCCCTAACAACAAGCCTATACACCAAAAGCCTCTTTGATTGCCCAATTCTATGAGCCCTATTCATTGCTTGAATATCAGCATGAGGGTTAAAATCGGAATCATAAATTATCACAGTGTCAGCAGTTGCTAAATTGATCCCAAGTCCACAAGATCTTGTGGATAAAAGAAACACAAACCGACTTTTATCATTGTTAAATCTTGAAATTGCCATCTGTCGATCTGCTATTGAAACAGATCCATCCACTCTCTCAAAAGTTTCCCTCCCAAATTCAATGTTTAAATAATCCTCCAAAATGTCTAAAAGTTTTGTCATTTGTGAAAAGATTAACACTCGATGACCTTCCTTTTTCAAGATTTTCAGCATGGAATGAAGTAAAGTTAGCTTTGCAGAAGCTTTGATTCTCATATCATGAAGGAATTCCAATGTCCCTGATTCCGGTTCCGTCCCTGGAATCAGATACGGGTGATTACAAACTTTCCTCAATTGCATTACAATGTTCAACATCGATTGTTGTGGAATCCCCTTTCCAATGTTCCTCAAAACCTGATAGTTTTTAGTCAACATTGCACGATAATACTCAGCTTGAATTTTAGACAACTCAACAGGAACCATTCGTTCGGTTTTCGGGGGTATATTCGTCATTGCGTCCTTTTTCAACCGCCTAAGCATATGTGGGGCCACAAGTTTTTTCAATTCATCGACTTTTTCAGCAGTTGAAAGATCATTAAAACGATCTTCAAATGAAGTCAATGAAGGAAAGGAAGAAGGTTGCAAGAAGTTTAGTAAATTATACATCTCTCCTATGTTGTTTTGTAGGGGCGTTCCTGTCAATAACACACGATGATTGAAGGAAAACGTGTTGAGTAAACTAAAAAGCTTACTACTTGAGTTTTTAAGCCTATGCCCTTCATCAACCACAAGAACTTCCCATTGGACCCCACGTAAGTGACTCGAATCAGCAAGAACCATTTCATATGTTGTCAAAAGAACATTGAATTTGTAACTTTTTGTTTTTTTATTTGAATCATTTGCATGCCATTCAAATTGTCTCATTAGTGATCTGGCACGTGCACACCCGTGGTATTCC